TTTGTGTGTGCGAATGTCACGTGTGTGTGTGTGTGTGTGCGAGAGTCACGTGTGTGTGTGTTTGTGACTGTGTATGTGTGTGTGTGTGTGTGTCGGCAGCAGATGGTAAAATACTGACATGTGTTACAGCAAATCCTCAATCACATTCTGGACGACATCGAACACTTCGTCACCAAACTGCAGAAAGCCGCCGAGGCCTTTAATGAGCTCTCCAAACGCAAGAAAAACAAGAAGAGCAAAAAGAGAGGACCGGGAGGTGAGCGTCACCTCACATCACACATCCACATCATCCTCATCGTCAGTGTGTCATGAGTGTGTTTGCTGTGTGTCTTCGATCAGAGGGGGTTTTGACGCTGAGAGCTAAACCTCCGTCTCAGGACGAGTTTATCGACTGTTTCCAGAAGTTCAAACACGCCTTCAACCTGCTGGTGAGTGACGATAGCCAGGTCCCCATCCCAGTAACGGACATTTTTAGCAGGAGAATCTCATTTAGATTATCTGTGATGTGATTATTGTTTGTCGTTCCAGGGGAAGTTGAAGAACCACATTCAGAACCCCAGCGCTGTAGATCTGGTCCACTTCCTGTTCAATCCTCTCAGACTGGTGCGTCTTCTGAGCACGTGTGGGTGTGTGTGTGTGTGTGTGTGTAACAGCCGTTCTGTCGGACTGACGTGTGAGTGTGAGTGTGTGAGTGTGTATGTGTGAGTGTGTGTGTGTATGTGTGAGTGTGTGTGTGTGTATGTGTGAGTGTGAGTGTGTGTGTGTGTGTGGAACAGCCGTTCTGTCGGACTGACGTGTGTCTGTGTGTGTGTGTGTGTGTCTCAGGTGATCCAGACGTCTGGAGGGGTGGATCTGGCTAAAAGCGTTATCGTTCCTCTCCTCACCAGAGAAGCCATTGACTTCCTGCACGCAGCGGGTTCGGCGGAGGAGAGACACCTGTGGGTCACGCTGGGAGACGGATGGACCAAATGCAGGTACTGGAACGACTCTCTTAATAGAACAAAACTGACCGATATTTAAAACTTTCAATTGAACAAAATCAAACATCATTTAAATCTCTTAACTGAACGAAAACAACTGATATCTAAAAAATGTAACAAAACAAAACCGGCCGATATTTAAGTCTCTTAATAGAACAAAAACATCTGATATTTAAGTCTCCTAACTGAACAAAAACGACCAATATTTTAATCTCTTAACGGAACAAAGCCAACCAACATTTAAATGTCTTATTAGAACAAAACTGATCAATCTCTAAATATAACAAAGCCGACCAGACATTTAAATATTTTAATAGATCAAAACCAACCGATATTTAAGTCTCTTGACAGAATAAAAACGACCGATATTAAAACATTTGATCAGAACAAAACTGATATTTAAATATTTTATCAGAACAAAACCAACTTGTATTTAAATCTCTTTGAGAAAAAAACAGACTGATATTTAAATCTCTTAATTGAACAAAACCAACTGATGTTTAATTTTTACAGAACAAACACGACCGATATTTAAATCTCTTAACCAAACAAAAATTGCCAATATTTAATTCTCTTAACCAAACCCAAACAACTGATATTTAAATATTTTAACAAAGAAAAAACGACCAACATTTAGATCTCTTGAAAGAAAAAACAAACAGATATTTAAAAAATCTTAACTGATCAAAACCAACTGATGTTTAAATTTTTACAGAACAAACACGACCGATATTTAAATCTCTTAACCAAACAAAAATTGAATAAACTGAATAAAAACGGCCAATGTTTTAATCTCTTAACAGAACAAAACCAACCAACATTTAAATGTCTTATTAGAACAAAACTGACCAATAATTAAATCTTTAAATAGAACAAAGCCGACCGACATTTAAATATTTTAATAGAACAAAACTGATATTTAAATCTGTTAACAGAACAAAACTGACCGATATTTAAATCTTTTAATTGAACAAAATCAAACATTTAAATCTGTTAACAGAACAAAATTGACAGATATTTACATCTCTTAACTGAACAAAACCGTTTGATATTTAAACATTTTAACAGAACAAAATCAACTGATATCTAAATATTTTAACAGAACAAAACCAACTTATATTTAAATATCTTAGCAGAACAAAAATGACTAATATTTAAATGTCTTAATAGAACAAATATGACCGATAATTTAATCTCTTAACATAACAAAACCAACCAACATTTAAATGTCTTATTAGTACAAAACTGACCGATAATTAAATCTCTTAACAGAACAAAACCAACAGATATTTAAATCTCTTAACAGAACAAAAATGACTAACATTTAAATGTCTTAATAGAACAAATATGACCGATAATTTAATCTCTTAACATAACAAAACCAACCAACATTTAAATGTCTTATTAGTACAAAACTGACCGATAATTAAATCTCTTAACAGAACAAAACCAACAGATATTTAAATCTCTTAACAGAACAAAAATGACTAACATTTAAATGTCTTAATAGAACAAATATGACCGATAATTTAATCTCTTAACATAACAAAACCAACCAACATTTAAATGTCTTATTAGTACAAAACTGACCGATAATTTAATCTCTTAACATAACAAAACCAACCGATATTTAAATCTCTTAACAGAACAAAACCGTCCGCTATTAAAACATTTTAGCAGAATAAAACTAACTGATATTTAAATAACTTAACAGGACAAAACTGACCGATATTTAAATCTTTTAATCGAACAAAGTCAAATAACATTTAAATCTGTTAACAGAACAAAAAAAGCATGTGTATTGTGAAAAGCGCTTTAGAGATACATTTGTCTTGTGTGGAGGTTGGAGTGGCCGAAGGATCACCCGTTTCCTCCGCACACGCTGTGTTTCCGGGACGGCTGGGAGCCGCCGGTGCTGGTGTCTCGTGAGCAAGACGTGGCTCAGCTGGCGGAGAGGCTCGGCGCGGCGCAGACCGAGGTTCAGAGACCTGTGGACGTGAGATGCTCTTTCACCTTTAACACTTACGGTGTGACGCTGTGAAGTATTTGATGAAGTGAAAGCGTTTTTTTTCTCTCCCGACAGCAGCCGGTGGTCCAGGACTTCCCCGGCGCAGACGGGTACGGCTACAGTAACACTTCTTACAAGCGTTTGCACCTGCTGGAGCCAGACATGGCCGTGGCTGCTTTTAAACACGCGGTCAGCCGTCATGTAGATAGGTAAAACCCACCGGGGTACAAGCGACCGCACCGCGCGCCCTGGAGAACCGGCTCAGCGCACGCTACGCTTCTGGGTTCATTCTGCTTCTCAAACGCTCAGCTCTGACCTGAACTCTCAGTCTGTTAAAGCGTCTTCAGACGGAGTAAAGACTCTCGTCTCGTCTCGTTCTCGAGCTCTGAGACGCTCCTCCACGGCGGCAGCAGTCGGTCAATAACAACATTCATCAGTAGATTCAACATTTAAAGAGAGCGAGCTTGTGTTTAAGAGATTACGCTGCAAAAAATCATGTTCTTCCTCAGCATTTTTGTCTTGTTTTGCAGTGCAAATATGCCAACATTGTTAAACCAAGATACTTTACTTGAGATGCAAAAGGAATAAAGTAAAAAAAAAACACCAAAAAACAATTATTTTCCATATTCTAAATGATAAGCAGATTTATTTATTTATTTAATTAATTATTATAGACTTGGGTTTAATTAAGATTAAAAAAAACTACCATTCTCTCACACACACACACACACACACACAAACCACACTCTGATATCCATACCAACACACCCACACAATTATAATTGCATCATTTCAATTAAATTGGCCTTTTTTCCAGCAGAAGCAGAAAACATGAACAGAACAAGTATCTGCTCCATAAACCAAACCTGAGAAAATGATGCAATAAGGTGGAAAAGAATAAAAAGCTGAAAAAACACTTGCCAACAGAATGAAAGCCTATTAACAAAGAATGCATGATTTTATACTTGTATTGCACTGGGATTAAATACAGCCGTTTTAATGGGGACATTTTTGTCCTATTTTTGCACCTTGTATAAAATAGATTTACTAAAGGAAATTAGTGTGAAATATTATTTATTTTTATATATTTATCAATATAATTCCAATAAAAACACACTTTTGACCAAATTTATGCTATTTGCATTAACAGCAAATTTGATAAAAAAAAAAAAAAAGTTTATTTTTCTGATTATTAGCAGATATTTGTTTTTGTTTTAAGCTTAAAGTCACAGAAAAACAAGGCAATAAAACAACATCTTAAGTCATTTTGCTTCTCAAGTGAATCTGTCCGTTTGTACTGAAAAACAAGGCAAACGTGATTTTTGGTGTCTCATTTGTTGAGGTTCTTTGACTCTTTCTCTTCAGGAACCTGGAGGCTCACGGCCGGACGCAGAGAAACTTTGCCAAATCCAGATATGACTTTGTGGCCAGAAACAACACTGAACTGTGTGTGATGAAAGACGAGGTGGTGGAGGTACGTAACGTGATGATGATGATGATGATGATGATGTGTCATGTGACGTGTCGATCTGATTGGCCGTCAGGTGCTGGATGACAGGAAGCAGTGGTGGAAGGTGCGTAACGGGATGGGCGCTTCGGGATACGTGCCAAACAACATTCTGGAGATCAGCAGAGCGGTGGACGTGACGGGCCGCGGGGAGCCCATCTACAGCCACACCATACAGGTGACACACACACACACACACACACACTATTCACATGTTTAATGTGTCTGATTGTGTTTCAGGCGTCCGTCTGTTGTCGCGCTCGTCACTCTACTGATTTCTACACTATCTTTCCCTCCGGGCTTTGGGCAGTTCATGGCCGGACAGGTAACACACACACGCGCACACACACACTCTCTCTCACACACTCTCTCTCACACACACACACTCACACACACAAACACACACTCACACGCACACTCACACTCACACACACACACACACGCGCACACACACACTCTCTCTCACACACACACACACTCACACACACACACACTCACACACACATGAGACGCTTGTTCAGCTTCATGTTCGGCTTCTGTCTGCATGCTTTGTCTTCAGTTTCATTTCGTCTCCTTGTTTTGCCACGTCATTGAATTATTGTTTGTGTTCATCTTTTCATCTTAAAGCTAATGATGCCAAAAAAGGAATTTGAGTTGTTTAAGGTAAACGAGTGTGTGTGTGTGTGAGAGTGTGTGTGTGTGTGTTCAGTTTTTTTGATCTTCTGCATTAGTTCAGTTTATCTCCCTGTGTGTGTGTGTGTGTGTATGTGTGTGTGTGTGTGTGTGCCTCCTTAATCATATTTTGGGGACAAATTTGTATACAGAAGTGAGTTAAACCTCCCAAAACCTCCTTTTAGGAACGTCCTTATTTGTAAAAATTGTATAAAAATAACATAGTTTTTCATAAATGGTCAATTGTAAAAATTAAGTATGTTTTCTGTTAGGGTTAGTGTGTTAGAGTTAGGTTATAGTATTTATAACTAGCTGTATATGAAAACAATAGATGTCTATGGAATGACTCCATTTAGTCAATGCATGTGTGTGTGTGTGTGTGTGTGTGTGTTTTATTTGCTTTGTGTGTGTGTGTGTTTGTTGTTGAATTTCATTTTCATGTCACTCTTCATTTTTCTCTCAAGCAATTACTGGTCGAGTTAAACGAGGTAACTGGATTATTATAATTTACAGTCAGAGAATCCCTCATAATCATTTGTCTCAGTATGTTTTTCATAGAGATTTTTGACATACAGTGTATATTATCTGTCTGTGTAGAGGCTGGTTAGGCATTAGAGTTATTAATATAGTATAAATTATGAACCACTGATGATCTGTGTGTTAGGAGCCGTTCACACAAAACGTGTCTTTGTGTCGAATGGTTTTTTAAAAAGCGCAGCGCTGAACGCCTCCTGAGTCATGTTGCCTTCAAATAAAACAGTTGCCATGCCAACTTGCTACTGTAAACAACGCTTGCCCCGCCTCCGGGGTCTTCTGATTGGTCCACTGTTTTGGAACTGACATTGATGAGCAGCACTGCGTTTGAAAGTTGAAACTCTTAATCGCGTCTCATGTGCGAGACGCGAGAACAATGTTCATACGTCCTGTGTAAACACATTCTGTGTGAACAGCCCCTTAGAGACATGAAATCAGATTCGTGGCTTTGATGAGCTCATGTGTGGCTCATGTGAGGCAAAAGTTGATCATGTGATTACTGCATGTCCAAAGCACGAGCCCTTCAGCATGTCCTGTGTGAACAGGAAGTGCATCAGCGCGGCGCTGGTTTCATGTGGTCTTGATTTCAGCCATGTTCAGTATCTGACTCTGCTGTTTGTCCCATTCAGAAGCAGCGCTCAGATTACGTGCCCAAACCGGCGGTGACAAAAATAAGTCTTACCAGGTAAATTGATTCAAAACATGTAATACTTTCTCAATGGCACACACACCTGCAGCATTATTCATGTGTCTCTCAGGCCGAAAGTCCAACATGGAGGAGGTTCAAGACGAGCTGATGCACAGACTGACTCTGGGCCGCAGCGCTCAGAAGAAGTTCCAGGCTCCGTCTCGCTCCAGCAGCCTGCCGGCGGTCAACATCACGTACGACTCCACGCCGGACGAGGTGAAAGCCTGGCTGCAGCTCAAAGGCTTCAGCGAAGTGTGAGTGACCCGTTCATCCGCTCTGCTGTAGAGCATCATGGGAGATTAACAGTGATGGTCTGAGCTGATGTGGTTTGGTCTGCAGGACCATCAACAGTCTGGGTGTGCTGACCGGTGCTCAGCTCTTCTCTCTGAACAAAGACGAGCTGAAGACCGTCTGTCCTGATGACGGCGCTCGAGTCTACAGCCAGATCACCGTCCAGAAAGCTGCTCTCGAGGTGAGTCGACTTCCTCCGCTTCTCCTCACAGATCCTTCCTTATTTCTCTCTTCATTCCTCTTTCAACTCTTCTGTCATAATCCAAATGTCTCGGACCGGATCACATCACACTGACCGTGCAATTCTGGATCCATCCATAAAATAATACTATAATAGTGCTCCCCGAATTGAATCTGGAGTCTCCAGACAGCTATTTATAATTTATGCATTTAGCAGACGCTTTTATCCAAAGCGACTTACAGTGCATTCAGGCTATACATTTTTTACCAGTATGTGTGTTCCCTGGGAATTGAACCCACGACGTTTTGCACTGCTAACGCAATGCTCTACCAATGAGCCACAGGAACACTAATAAGGTGATAAGTTGCTCAACTCTGTAGTGTCGCTTTGGTTTTTCTGTGGTGTTTTTGCTGTCTGCAGGTTTTCTTCTGACGCTCCCATGATCTTCACATGTAATCCACGTTCCTCTGAAGGTACTTTAGTATCATAGCGAGGCGGCTTTGCTCTGTTTAGTTAACACATCATTCACCGCACATGCACATAACCCGGTAAGGTTGCACCAGTTCTTACTTAAAGGGATAGTTCACAAACCTGTATGAGTTTATTTCTTAAAGAATATATTTTGAAGAACGTTGGTATCCAAAGAGTATATTTTGGATTTGATCCCCAACATCCTTCGAAATAATTTCCTTTGTGCTCAACAGAAGATAGAAACTCATACAGGTTTGAGGGTGAGTAAATGATGACAGAATTTTCATTTTTGGGTGAACTGTCCCTTTAAATTGGAATATAAAGTCCACACTTAGCTAGTTCATAACTAACTATGTACTAATAATAATAATAGTGTCATTATTCAATTAAATTTTTGTTCTCATTTGATAGTGTCAGTGCAGTTAAATCAATAATAAAAATTTTTTTTATTGATTTAACTGCACTGCAAATTAAAAAAAATAAAACATAAGCATTTGTAGGGCTGGGCGATAAAACGATAATTATCGCGATATAATTTTCCCTCGATAAAACGGTATGAAGAGTTCGATATAAAGTTTACTTATAATGTTTCCGCCAAAAGCGGAACAAATCATTTATACTAAATGTATTTTTCATACAAATACCTAGAAACCATAGTCATTTTTACCATGGTATTGAGGTGCTATATGTGTGGTTTTAACTGTGGTTATCATGATCTAAATGTATGCTACTATGGAAAACCAATGGTTAATTTTTAATAAAACTCATTAATTAATTAATATCAATAATTAATAATTAAATTTCACTATATAAAAATGAGGTTGTTACAATTTCTACAGATGTTGCTGTTTTTGATAATGAACATAAATTTACATCTGCATCCTAACTCAAGCTACTGTCAAATGTATATTTCTAAGAGACAAAATACATAATATTATTAATATTGCAGCTGCACTGCAAACTGTGCTGAAGATACGCATCATCAAAGTCAGGAACACAAACCTGATTCATGATTTGAAACAATATCACTCATTAGAACATGCAGATACTTAGAAATTAATTTCTCTGTATTGACATTTATTTTGTTTTTGTTGGAAAAATGACTGGAAAAGTGTAAAGAATTCAAAAACGTGAAGTGTTTGTCATGTTCTGAGCATAAAGAGTCGTTTAAAACCACAATTAACCATCTGGTTTCTACATCTTTCACTTAGGAGCAAAAATCTGCCTTTTAACTTGAAAGAAATAAAGATTTGAAAATGATCGTGATAATTATCGATATCGGCTGATATGAAAAATTTTATCGTGATAATTTTTGGGTCGTATCGCCCAGCCTGATCTTACAATGCACATCGACTGAAGTCGATGCTCTGACCTGTAAATATTTAGTTTATGCATAGTTACGTTTAATGGTCCAATGCAACAATATTTAGTAACTTGGCGCACATTTATGCCACAACTAGGCTTAGTTTTAACTTGCATGCAGCTGGTGCAAACGACCCCTGATGATCCTGACACAGAACCGCTCGTTACAGCTCATATTAATATTTCAACAGCTCCATTTATCTGATGGTCTGTATTTCATTGAATCTGTTCGAAATAAGAGCGAGCGCACATTTTAATAGATGCTTGTGTTGTTTAGTGGCTTCTGTCTGCTGTTTCCAGTCATAGCTAGAGAATAGATGCTTTCCCAGAATCCCTCAAGCGCCCCTTTACACATCCATCATCGTTAGTTTAGAGCATCTGATGAAGAACCTTCATGAACCTCATCCTCATTCACTCGTTTCTGCTCTTCCTCTCTCTGTCTCTCCAGCTTGTTTAAATGAGCGTTTCGTGAGATGTAGGGCTGGGTTGGAAATACTGATTTCTCGATTTTGATGAACCGATATTGATTCTTAAATCGCAAGAATCGATCTATGCTGTTTTCTGTTAATGCATGAACAAACCTTATTTGTAGCACCTCCCATCCGATAAATCGCAACAAGCTTTGTGCTTTGTTGCATTTGATAGGAAAGTCTCTGCTTTCAAATGTCAATTTTATCGTAAATTCAAACAATAAATGCTGACAGATCGCTGTAGTGAACCGATTATCTCTTCCTCTTTACTACTAGTTATAGCAGCAAATAAACATGAATGAACTTCAGAAGAAAATAGAGAAAAGATCTGAGAAAGCAGCATGCATGGTTATCTCACCGCGCAGTGTCAGTGCTCTAAACAAGTGATCGCGACACCTGACCTGATGAATACGATCAGAATGAACATTTATTTATCTGTATCAAATATGTTATTCACTGTCATTTTTCATTCACAATCATTTCACTGTAATGCCAAAGTTCTTAATATTCAAAGTCGCAGTCGTGCTGTCAATGCGATTAAATAAATATTTAACATCGTGAAAGTCATTTTAAACACCAACGCACACTGCTCTTAAGAAAATTAACCATGGTTTTACTACAAATAAAGCCCAAGTAATAGTTATACCATAGTAACCACAAATTAATCATGGTTTTGCTACACTAGCCATAGTTTAACCATGGTATTTGTTGTAAATTTGTGGTTATTCAAACAGTAATCTGCCAAAAAACCATGGATACTACACTTTTACTATAGTAAAACCATGGTTAATTTTTGTAAGGGTGCTTATCAGTCAAATTGATGTAAAAATGTAAATTCAACAAGTATGAAATATGATCAGTAAGAGAAAAACACTGTTAATGAGAAGACGAGCGCTGGACTGCGGCAGGTTAGTGTGGAAATATATTTATTTATTATTCAGAAGGCGCGTTTGGAATGGAAATATATTTATAGGGACATTTCAGCAGGTTGAAGATAATTCATGTTAATGCAGAGAATATGATTAATTGCTTTTAAAAACATTTACCAGCCCTAAAATGTAGCAAAAATCTGTGTTCTCATGAGAAACTGTAGCTATACTAAGTAGAACGTGGAAGTAGTTGTGCAAGTAGTCCATTATATCAATAAAAAAACTATTATAATAAATATTTATTATATGATTTTTGTGTGCAATTTAAAGGGTTAGTTCACCCAAAAATGAAAATTAGCCCACAAATTACTCACCCTCGAGGCATGCTAGGTGTATATGACTTTCTTCTTTCAGACGAATCCAGTCGGAGCTATATTAAAAATTGTCTTTGATCTTTCAAGCTGTTTAATGCCACTCAGCGGGTGTTGCATGCATCAGT